TGTATCATTGACTATGCTAAAGCCTTTGACTGTGTGGATCACAACAAACTGTGGAAAATTCTGAAAAAGATGGGAATACCGGACCACCTTACCCACCTCCTGAGAAATCTGTATGCAGGTCCAGAAACAACAGTTAGAATCAGACATGGAACAATGGACTGGTTCCAAATTGGGAAAGGAGTATATCAAGGATGTATATTGTCACCCTACTTATTTAACTTATATGCAGAGTACATCATGAGAAATGCCAGGGTGATTGAAGCACAAGTTGGAATCAAGATTGCTGGGAGAAATATCAACCTCAGATATGCAGATCATACCATCCTTATGGCATAAAGCAAAGAGGAACTAAAGAGCCTCTTGATGAAAGTGAAGGAGGAGGTTGAAAAAGCTGGCTTAAAACTCAACATTCAAAAAATGTAGATTGTGGCATCCAGTCCCATCACTTCATGGCAAATAGATGGGGAAACAATGGAAACAGTGAGAGACTTTGTTTTCTTGGGCTCCAAAATCACTGCAGATGGTGACTGCAGTGATTAATGAAATTAAAAGATGCTTGCTTCTTAGAAGAAAAGCTATGACCAACCTAGACAGCATATTAACAAGCAGAGATATTACTTTGCCAACAAAGGTCTGTCTAGTCAAAGCTATGTTTTTTCCAGTAGTCATGTATGGGTGAGAGTTGGACTATAAAGAAAGCTGAGTGCCGAAGAATTGATGCTTTTGAACTGTGGTATTGGAGAAGACTCTTGAGAGTCCCTTGGACTGCAAGGAGATCCAACCAGTCCTTCCTAAAGGAAATCAGTTCTGAATATTCATTGGAAGGATTGATGCTGAAGTTGAATCTCCAATACTTTGGCCACCTGATGTGAAGAACTGAGTCATTGGAAAAGACCCTGATGCTGGGAAAGATTGAAAGCGGAAGTGGACGATGGAGGATGAGATCATTGGATGGCATCACCGACTCAATGGACATGAATTTGAGCAAGCTCTGGGAGTGGGTGATGACCAGGGAAGCCTTGCGTGCTGCAGTCCTTGTGGTCAACTGAGTGACTGAACTGAACTGAACAAGTAATTAATTCACATGAGAGTATTAAAAAATTAGAAATATGGGAAACAGACAAACAAATACAAAAGCACTTGAAGCTACTAAAGCAGCAAGTTCTCAAACTTGGTTGTACATTGTAATTACCTGGGAATCTTTAAAATATATGGATGCCTATATTCTAACCTTCAAAAAACTTGATTTAACTGATCTATAAGTTGTCTGGGCATTATAATTTTTTAATCTCCACAGTTGATCCTAAGGTGCAGCCAAGTTTGAGAACCTCTGTGCTAAAGTAACTTTCTCAGGTCCCTTTCTCTTACCTGCCTTTTCCCACCATAATTTGTGATTCATCTTCTTGTTCTTCTCTCAGCTTTATGACCTTTCTACCGACAAAATTGCTACATTCCTTAATAATGAATTTTTATGAAGTTTAGTTTCCAATTTCACACATCATTAACAGGGTAGGTATATAAAAAACATTAATGGAAAAATGAGCTTTTAGTCAAGGCATGCATTTGACTGGACTGAAAAATATTAAATGGATCTATCCACTCAACCATGTTATTATGGTACTATTGGAAAATATGTTGACATGAAGAGTCCAAAATAATACTTGATACATGATACATCTCCAGATTAGCCAAGTATTTCTTTAATTAGATTTTGGGTAATGGATTAGCTATTATTTACTTGAAGTGTTCCTGTAATGGAAACAATAGAATTTGTTACCAACTCCTTTATGTGGATTGGGTGTGTGTGGGTCAAAACCAAATACAAATGAAAACTTCTCAGTCGGCAACTTGCCTGAACCTACAGGCACTAATCAGTTTGTATTTTGGAATACAATAATCATGGGTATTTTGAAATATTTTTGGACTTACTCAGATGTGTGAGAGAGGTTATTCTATGTTGCCTAGAGTCTGAACTTGTGCAATTGTCTCTTTACTCAGGAAAATGGTTTAATTCCTCTCTACTTGTCTGAAAGATTTATATGTTGAAATCTTACCTCCCAAAGGTGATGGTTTTAGAAGGTGGGGTCTTTGGGAGGCATTTAGTTCCTGAGGGTGGAGGCTCTGTGAATGGGATTAACGCTCTTAGAAAAGACACTCCACAGAGCTCCCAAGCCCCTTCCATCATGGGAGCGTCCAGGCTACGAACCAGGAAGTGAACCCCCCCCCCCCCAGAATGCAACCCTGCTGGTGCCTTGGCCTTGGACATCCCAGTGTCCAGAGCTGTGAGGAGAAAATTTCTGTTGTTTTTGCAAGCCACTCAATCTGTGGTATTCTGTTACAGCAGCCTGAATAGAGTATGGTAAGAGCAATTCTTTATCGATAGGCTGGCCAAGCACTCCAGTTTGCCTGGGACTAAGGCCTTTCCTGAACAAACCAGGATGGTTGGTTCACCTTAATTGGTACAGAGAAAATGAATACTTTGGTAGTATTTTAGCTGCTTGACTGAAAATTATCCTTTTTTTTTTTATTAGAAAATATTTATTTGTTTGGCTGTGTTGGATCTTAGTTGCAGCAGGCAGAATTTTTTTTGCATCATGTGCAATCTTTCATTGGGGTGTGTGGACTTTAGTGGTGGCTTGCAGGGTCAGCAGTTGCAGAGCATGGGCTCCAGAGCACGCGGGCTTTAGTAGTTGTGCCCTGCGGGCTTAGTTGCTCAGCAGCACATGGGATCCTAGTTCTCTGACAGGGATCGAACCTGTGTCTCCTGCCTTGCAAGGAGGATTCTTAACCACTGGACCACCAGGGAAGTCCTGAAAAATTATTCTTATGTTTTAATTTATGACTGCCAAGTCTTATGTAAATGATAACAGTAAATGCAAGGTTAGTGGATTATTTTCTGGGGCTGGTATTAAAACTTTACCTTCAGCTTGTCATGTTGCTTTTTAAATATTTATTCAAAAGATTTTGCTAGCACTGCTAAATTTCACCTTGAGAAAATAAGTATATTTTATGTCTAATATCTAGATTTAAAAAAAGAGATAATGTCTAAAATAGCAGAGTGAATTGATGCTACAGAAAAAATTAATTTTAAGATATACCTTGAGACTATAGTACACTGTTAACATGAAGAAGTTCTCCTAGTAGAATGAAATAGAAAAAGAGGACTAATACAGTCTAATATGGATCTTTTCTTGCACCCCCCAAATCATCAAAATTTACACAGAGAAGTATTGCACAAAAATTCATTGATGATATTATATATTGGTTATTTTTGAAATTCTTGGAAGTAATCACACAGTAAAGATAAATTTATAGTTTTACCCCAGGGAATTAACATATTTCATTTAAACCAATGATACATTTTTGCAATCATGTGATTATCCTGGATTCCTTTTGCCTAATTTCAAATTGTTAAGGGTTGATTTTCTATTCTTTGGGTATTGAGAATCAGAAAATACCAATTATTGCCTTAAAGGGAAGACTAATCCAGTTTTAACACATGCCCAGGTCAGAAAAATATCAAAAGCACTCCTTTCCAAGGGAGTATTCAAACATAGAGACAAAAAGTATTCAGGGCATTGCCAATGTGTTAGACGAACATGGAACTGAATGTACTTTTAGGTTAACAACTGGACATGGAGTCTAGAGGCTCAGCTCTAGATCCAACTGCAATAATCCAGTGAGTGTTTGGGTCCATGCCTTTATTGTCTGGGTCTCAGTTTATTTGCCTGTAAAGTGGGAGAGTTTGACTAGCCCATGCCTGTATAGTGCTGTGCTTAGTCACTCAGTCATGTCTGACTCTTTGTGACCCCATGGACTGTAGCCCACCAGGCTCTTCTGTCCATGGGGATTCTCTAGGCAAGAATACTGGAGTAGGTTGCCATGCCCTCCTCCAGGGGATCTTCCCAACCCAGGGATCGAACCCAGGTCTCCTCCATTGCAGGCTGATTCTTTACCAGCTGAGTTTCAAGGGAAGGCTTCCCAGGTAGCTCAGATGGTAAAGCCCATGCCCATGGTCCATTGAATTGTTAATATCCTATTGCTTCATGTATGGCCTTCTGATGATGTCTTAGTGAATATGTGGGTTTATGTCTTCCTTTTCTCCAGTGTTGCTCCTCTGTACCAGCCTTGGAGTAGTAGCTCACACAGCTAAAATCTGAAAAAAAGACATCTTCTTCAGGGGCAGAGGTGCCTAGTCTGTCTTCTTTAGTCCTTATGACACCTCAACATAATATTCTGTATCCTAATGTTTGCAACTCAGATTTTGGATGAGTTGTTTCCCCTTTTAGGGTCTCAGTATCTATCTGTAATGAGGATTTCCTCTCCTGAATTTCCTTTTCTAGTTTTAACTCTCTTTTAGGCACTGAAGTTGTTCATTTATTCATCTGTGAGATAGAATAGTTTTTGGTCATCTCAGTGAGGCCTCCCTGCGCATTCCTTTCTCTATCCCTGCCCCACCCCAACTTTCCTGCTGGAAGAAGTCTAGAGATCTTGGAGAGCCTTGTGAACCACATCTTGTCCCTAGATGCATGGCTGCAGGTAACAATTCTGCCCAGTGTTTGCTGCAAACACCTTCAGAGCATTAAGGTCCCTGTCGCTCTTTCATGGACAATGCCCTGAGGATCCATTTTTAGGATAAAGAGGTCTTGTCAAGACAAGACTGACCTTATCTTGAAGTCTTGTCTTGCCTTATGATATTTTTTAAAAAAAGAACATGATGCAGCTGGTGTAGAGTTTTATTGGCTATAAAACATGTACAATGATGGGAATCTGACAACTGTAGTGGTAAAGTAGAGCTTTAAGCTCATGAACTCATATTTCGATTGAAAAAGTGCAGCAATATATGAAGATTGTTATGGTGAGATTGTTACAGAGAAAAAAAGTTTCTGAGTTTGTTAACTCCAAGGAAACCTCTTAGAATTCACCTGGGCAAGGACTTTGCATTGAGGGGAAATAGTTTTTACAACAGGCAGAAATTTTTATTGGCCTCACTTGTACTTTCAGATCTCATTCACTTGAGAAAGAATTATTCTTCCATTGACGCTCTCCTGTGTGATGGCCTTGATCTTTGGAGCTGCAGATTTAAAAAAAAGCAACAAAGAGGTCACTGCCATGCTCTCCCCACCATCTGAACTGCGCTCCTTTCCAGGTCCCAGTTCTCAGCACCCAAAGGCTCTCTGTGCTTTCCAAAATGATCACTAAGCAATATGGTGGGCTCTAATCGAGTGAAAAGAGATCTTATGAAGGAAGATTTTCCTCCCACCTTCTAGGAAATGAGGGTATCTGAACAGTGTCACTTTCTAGAGGTCAAGACCTTCACCTCAAGTTTTCCTGATACAGAAGCTAGTATTTGACCACAAGTGCTGGAGGGGTCCTTTCTGCTTATATGGGCTTTGAGCACTTGCATCATAGACTCTGTGAACTTACAGAGCCTTAAATGCCATTCTGGGGACCTCATTTTAAGGTCTAGGGAGTATGCCATATGAAAGATCATGAGAAGCCAGGAATGTTTATCATGGTCACTGTTTTCAAAGATAAGATTTATTTGAAAAAGTGCTTTGTTGATGCATCAATACACCGATTCTAGACCAGAGGGAAGAATTGAAACCAGTAATAGAGATCCAGGGAGAACTTTGTTAAAGTCAAGGCTCTCCAATAGTAGATTGTCCACCCCCTCCAGTAATGGGTTCCCTGTCCCTGGACATGACCAAAGAGAGGCTGGAGGTCCATGTGTTGGGATCTTGCAGAGGGATGGCAACGAGGCCAGCTGTTCTCTGATGGTTACTTGGACTCTCAGTCCTTGAACCTTTAATGCCTTAGAACATTTTATCATAAACTAATCAGAAAGTGCCACCTGTCCCAGACTGTGACTTCTTAAACTTTTCTGTGAGATGTTAAATGTAATCTGAGAAAACAGGGTCCCCCGGTCAAAGGTGTTTGAGAACACTCTGCTAAACAAAATAAATTCTGTTGTGGTTTCTTTCTCTTTCTTTTTCTTCCCTGCAGCAGTATTTGTTCCATCTTCAATACTGAAACATAGCCTGATTCTTCACCAAGAGAATAGTGGTACATAGTATTCCCAGCCATACTGGGCCACAGGACACATCTTTTTATAATACACAGTTAAAATCTCATGGGATGCTAGTGTTCAACAGAATGTAGCTTGGGAAATTATGTGACATCATGTTTTTCTTAATTTCCTAGGATTTTGGCCAGCAGACTCCATAACTTAATTGTTGTTAAGTCACTTAGTTGTGTCTGACTCTTTGCAACCCCATGGACTGCAGTGCACAAGGCTCCCCTGTCCTTCATTACCTCTTAAAGTTTTTTCAGATTCATGTCCATTGAGTCCATAATTTAATAGAGATATAATAATGTCACTGATTATTTTTATCTACTTTACTGCTGGCAAAGAGCTCATATATATATATATGTATATATACATATATATATATAGTTTAGGACAATATTGAGAGCTCACTTGGTTCTGCCATATCTAATTTAAGTTGATTCAATATTCCTGGCCTGAGTCCATAATTTAATAGAGATATAATAATGTCACTGATTATTTTTATCTACTTTACTGCTGGCAAAGAGCTCATATATATATATATGTATATATACATATATATATATAGTTTAGGACAATATTGAGAGCTCACTTGGTTCTGCCATATCTAATTTAAGTTGATTCAATATTCCTGGCCATTTGGCAGTAAAGTAAAAACTGAACAAAGAACATTCAGTAGTACACGAGAGGGTATGATTACTGAAGGATGGATAAATGTGCTGATTCATTAAAAAAAAAGTATATTCAAACAATGAAACAGTATTTTTTACCTTTGACGTTTGACTTAGATTCTTCCATTGTCCTATAAAAGTGATAAAGGCTCATTTTAGTATTAACAACAATCATAAAAACTTCTCAAGATGAACTAACTTCCTTTGCCTGCTGGTACATTCATAGCTCTTTAATGAGGATAATTGTTTGAGTTCTGTAGTTTCAAGGTCAGGAGTTCATGGGAGAACCCTCCTGGACCCAAAAGGCAGTGAGTACTGCCTCCCACTAACCCTGGGGGCGGGGGAGAAATCTGCTGAGTCACCTCCATCCTTTCAGCCAGCTGCAGGCTTTGCCTCCACTGGGATCCTTTTCAGTGTCTCCATCTGAAGTGTGAAACCCCTGGGCTTTCCAATAACATTTTATTTATGTACTAAAAAAATTCTCTTTCCCTTGGGTCATAGAACATATGTGCCCTTTTGTGGACACCTATACCAAAAATAGTCAGAGATTCCAGATAAAAAATCTGGACATCTCAATCTCTTATGAGTCTTTTCCTGCTGTTAAATTCCTCAATCTTTTTTTCTTTTTTGAGCCAAAATTGGGTGCATTCTCACTGGGAAACACTGTGGCCAAACTTTCTTCATTGTTTCTAAAGATATAAAATATTAACTGAAACTGTTGACTTCAAATCTTAGTGTCCTGGGAATAACAGTTGATGAATTCACACTTCCTACTTAATGGAATACAGCCTGATCTAAGTAGCTACAGAAGAAGTTCAGCATAAACCTTTCTTTCTCTACACGGATGATGGCTAACAGGACCATAAGGTACATGAATGCACACAAGGGTGGATTCACTTTTCATTGCCCTCCCGTGCCAATTTTTGCCTTACCCTCCATTCTCTCCCTCCAAGAGCTGGCGGTAGGTGGCAATTTCCTTCTCTAGGTGGGTTTTGATGCCCAGGAGGACCTTGTATTCGTTATTCTGACGCTCCAGGTCATGGCGTAGCTGTGTCAGTTCCTCCTCATAATGGGAGATGATCCGTTGCATGTCCTGGAGCTGGTAGGTGTACCGAGACTGGGTCTCTGATAACATGTTTTCTAAAGCAGATTTCTGAAAGAGGAATGAGATTTCTTTCATCTACTGACTGATGGATTGATTTAATAACCTGCTGAGTTGGGCTTCTCTGGTGGCACAATAGTAAAGAATCCACCTGCCAATGCAGGAGACTCAAAAGATGTGGGTTTGGTCTCTGGGTGGAGAAGATCTCCTGGAAGAGGAAATGGCAACCCACTCCAGTATTCTTGCCTGAAAAATTCCATGGACAGAGGAGCCTGGTGGGCTACAATCCATGGGCTCACAAAGAGCTGGACACAGCTGAGCATGCATGCTTGCTGAGTAGTGAGAATATACCAACTACTCTGCTGTGTATCTTGGTGGAGTTGGGGATGAGTTAGGAGGAGCAGGCTGACTTTTAGGTTTGGAGTCAGGCAATGAGGAGTCAGGACTTTCTGAATCTCATTTTTCTGGGCATAAAGGCTTTGTGTCAGGGAGTTCTATGCAACTTAGCTGCACTCCTGTAATATTTATTCTTGATGTAGCTTGTTTGGGAGTGAGTATACCCCACCTTGCCCTGATCTGTTCCTTACTTACTTCTGCTTCCATTTTGTCTCTGGCCAGACTGAAAGCTCCTAGAAGGAAATAGCAGTCAGGACTGCTATCTTTTTGTATCTTCAGAGAAGGGTCTCAAGTAAGGGTGCCAGCTAAAATAGAGGGCACCTGATTAAGTATGAATTTCAGATGAGCATTCAGTAATTTTTTTTTAGCATAAATGTGTTCCAAATATTCCCCCAATATTGCACAAGGGCTTACTTATACTGAAAAAAAAAAAAAGCACTTGTTCATCTGAAATTCAAATCTCACTGTGTGTCTTCCATTTCAATTTGGTGAATCTGGTAACACATTGTCATTTTTGAGGAAATTTTGAAAGCTGCAAAATGAAGGAAGCAGAGAACCGAGTTCAAGTCCCTGTTCTGTTTGGATTTACCATCTACTTTTCTAGCACACATAACTTTAACCTTAAAGAGACATTCATAGCTAATAAAGCACCTTGCACTTCATCAGGGCTGCTAACGTCCAGGGGGTCCTTCATGCTGCCTAGCTATTACCCTACATGTCCCTGGTCTCATCACTTTCTTGTTCTCCCAAAGGGTTTTTTGTTCCTTCTCCTCTGTCTGCAAACTGCCCTTCTCCCTGTCCTTTCTCTTAGCCCAAGATCTTGCTTCCTTTGTCGCTGAGGATATGAAAGCCCTCAGGGGAGGGCTCCCACCAGCTCTGCCAGCTTCCACCCACAGACATGAGTCTGTGTCGACACTCATTCCCCTCCTGTTATGAGGGGAATAACCGCCCCTGTCTGTGCCACGGTTATTTCAGTAATTACCCACCGTCTTGCAACATGAATGCTTTCCTCCCTCCTAGGTTATTCCCACCAGCTTTCACACAGAATTTCTTCCAGCTTAAAATTTGTTCTCTCGAGACCGTAACTACCTTCAGCGATCAGCCAATTCCTCTGCTCACCTTTGCTTACTGCAGAGCTCCTCAAAGAGTTGTCTATACCCTCTGTTTCAAATTCCCCTTGACCAAGGGGAATCTGGTGCCACTGTTAACCCTAGGGCCTCCTCTTCTCCCCTTTCTTCTTCCTTCTGTTGACTCACTGCATCCATGTTGGCTTCCCGGCTATTCCTCCAACCTGTCCGACACACCCACGCCTCATAGCTTGTGCATTTGCTATTCCCTCCATCTGGAGCTCCCTCCCCATAGCCATGTAATGTATCTTCGTATCACTTTGAGGGTTTTGCTCAACTCTTACCTTAACAGTAAGGCCTCTCCCTACCACCTGGTTTTAAAATGACAGCTCCTCTCCTGGCAAGCCTAACTTCTCCCTCATGTTTCATTTCTTTGCAGCATTTTCCTCCATCTGGCATATTATTAATTTTGATGATTTGTGCCTTTATTGTCTATCATCTACAGTAGTATACAAACTCCTTTATTATCAAATCCTGTTACTTAGAATAGTGTCAGGTAGCAGAAAGCATGAAACTGGATATAAATGTCAAGCTGACCTTGCAGGGTTGTTGTGAAATTTCTAATGCTAAAATGTTCTGAAAGCTACAAAACTATTTAGATAATTTTAAAATATGTTAATTTATTTGTATTTAAATAATATAAAATAGTGTAATTATTTCTGTGTTCATTATCATCACCTTAACCGTGTACATTTTAAATATCTGTCCATCGTCACTGATTCCTAAAATGTAACAGTAATTTACCAGGTGCACCTGCAACAAAATGAACTAATTATTTCTCCTCAAGACTGAGAGCAGAGTAGCACTGGGGAATGGTATTGATGAATGATTAGAATATTCAGATAGGCTAAGAAGGAAATTCAATGATGGATTTTATTTCATAAATTTTAAGTGCTTATAACACTCCTAAAAGCATTTTTACTGAAACCCATGATGATCAAAGGAATGACTTAGACACAGAACTTACTGCTCACTGGGTATAAGACTGTTCACGGTATAAGACACAAACACAGTAATAGAGCCGTACTTTGGAGTCAGCAAGCCTGGATTTGCCACTTGCTCATGTTGGCACCAGAATTTCTCTTTCTTGGAACTGGAAGGGGGCGGCATGGTTGTAAGGGAGAGAGCGCTGATAGAGGTTTTGAGAGTGTAGAACTGCCACCCCCATCCAAACCACCATGTGGCTTCACCATTGGTCACTTATTAACTGTGTGACCCTGGTCAATTCACTTAACTGTTTGGGGCTTTGGTTTCCTTATCTCCAAAATGGGGACACCAGCCCTATCTGGAAAGGTTAATATGAGGATTGATGACATTGAATATAATGAATGTGGCACAGCATGGACTCCTCAATAAATGATAGCTTTTATCATCCTCTTTGTGGACAATTTGGATGGAAAGTGGGAGTTTGGATGGAGAAGTGCCCCAAGGGAGTTGGAGAGACGGGCCCCGGAGAGAAGGTTTTGTGGAGGAGGTGGTACCTGACCTGAGATTTTTCCACCTCAAACTTACCTTGTTGCACTGTGCCTGCAGATCAATCTCCAGGGCCTGGAAAGTGCGCTTCAGTTCATGAAGGTCACTTTGGCTGCTTTGCACACCTGTTGGACTGGCTGCCTCCTGGGCCACGGCTGCTGACTGTGAGACCAAGCCGAGAAGAGAGGCATTGGCATTGGTACCACTTGTAAGTGGAAACTTTGGGAAGTTTGGGCATCTTTCTTTTACCTGCTCTTTGTACCAAGTGTCCAAGTCTTGATGCTTCTTTTTAATTATAAACTCATATTCCTGCCTCATATCCTCCAGGACCTTAATCAGATCTTCTCCTGGGGTTGTATCCACCTTCACGTTGACCTTGAAGTCATTTGGCACATGGTTTTCCTCTATTTCCTGTTTAACCACAGAGAGAGAAAAGGAATCAGTTTGACAATCAGAAGGCCAGAAGTGTGTTGATGGGCAGCAGCACACCGATCTCTTAAAAATTCAGCTTATGTGTTTGCCACTCCTTCATTGGCTTGGTTTGGTTTCTCAGTTTTTATTTGTTGATGACAAAACATGTTTTTTCCCCCCTTACATATGTGTGTGTATACATACATACATACATATATATATATATATATATATTTTTGGCCACACCACACTGCATGTGGGATCTTAATTCCTTGAACAGGGATTGGACCCAGGGCCCCTGCAGTGGAAAAAGTGAGGAGTCTTAGTCAATGGACTTGCAGGGAAGTCCTTCTCTTACAATTTTATGAAGTAAAGAATAGCACCAGACAGGTAATAAAATGGCCCCTGTGATTACTGACTTAATCCCTGGTTGAAAACATTTTACAAGGAATTTTGCTTACATACAGTATAAAGTACTCTTCAACAAATGTTCATGAATGAAATGCTAACACAGTGAAACACTTGAACATTTCAGGTTATAGGCCAAAGCTTTGGGGCAGCAGTTCAGTAACCCAAAGCCAAATGGTGTAGAGACTTTCAAAATCTTGTCAGTGTATTATGACTCTGTAGGCAAGAGGCCCATGAGGTATCATGAAACCCAGAAACCACAGGAAAGGTTTCATTAACCATCACGTCTCACCAGCTGTGCAGAAGGCAAGTTTCCTTGATAAGCAGTTTTGTTTGCCTAAAATAGGGATTGTTTCTTTTATCTTTTCATCAGAGTCTCAGGGATTTTAAATGGATGCTAACTTTTAAAGTCAGTTAAATGATTTTGGCAATTGAGCCTCAATTTTGGCCAATAGTTATATCAAATATAACTAGTAACTGTAACTATGTAGTTACTATAGAATATAACTATATTAAATATAATCTGGACCAGTGGCAGAGTCTATTCTGTCGTTCTCCAACTTGCTGCACATTGGGTTAATGAAAGAAGTTTGATCCTAAACATTTATTTTTCTCACATCATATTAATAATCAGGTCTAGATAAACATTGTATATTAACAATTGTTGACTGATGTCATAGTTAGTTGGAATTGTGTTTTGGCTGTTGTATTTGGCATAGCTGTGAATGTGGAAAAATTAGATATGTATATGGTTCCTTATGATTATTTAGGTTGAAGACAATAGAGCTGGCATTCAGGTGGTGGTTTCTTCTGGAGCGACTGAGTCACCTGAAATGTGCAGACTAAGAGCTGTACTGGTTGCCTGGAGGTCCTGGGAGTCCTACCTGCTCATGACGCTTCTTCATGAGGATGAGCTCTTTCCTCATCCCCTCAACCTCCTGTTCTAGGTCTGTGGTGACAATGGTCAGATCATCCAAGGTCTTTCGGAGACCTTCAACTTCAATTTCCAAGTCTTTCTTGAAGGAGTGTTCATTTTCATACCTTTGGTTAGAAAGAAGAGAACAGAACACTTGTTATTGGAAGGATTCATCTCAGTTTTAGGCTGAATTTCTTACTTTTTATGTTTCATGCAGGTTTTTCTATGATGGTGATCCAATTTTATTTTTTTCATTAGAGAGAATGGCATAATAAACAGCCATATGTCCGTCACTTAGATTTAGCAGCTATTAACATTTTGCCATATTCGTTTCATCTATAGTCTATCTTGTCTTTTAAAGTAAATTATAGACATCATGTCCTTTCAAACCCTAAATACTTCAGAATGTATCTTTTAAGAAAAGAGTTTTCTAAATAAGTATAGTAACATTATCACACCTAAAAATCAATAATAAGTTTTTAATATCATCTAAGAATTTGTATTCAAATTTCCCCATACCAAAAAGTGTATTTTATATCTGATTTTTTAACAAATCTTGTTATAACAAGAACAAATATCTGTCTGGACCCTAGTGACTGAAGCGACTTAGCAGCAGCAGCAGCAGCATGCCTTTTCATTATAACTTAATAAGATTTTACATGTGGGTAATGGTGAGATACGTTTTCTTTCTGCAACACAGAAACAGAAACAAGAACAATTCCAAAAACCTAACCAACCTCCATCCCCTCCCCTCCACCAACACAACACTGTGAAGAAGGAACTTACTTAAGGCTGAAGTCATCCACTGCCATCCTGGCGTTGTCGATGAGAAGGATGATCTGAGCGTTGTTCACCTTGCCATCTGCTATCTGTAAAGCACACACCAAGAGTCACTTCAGTTGCATGCAAATCCACAGGACAACTGCATTTCTGCCCAGTTTCTAAGAATCTGACTCATCAGCAGATAAGGCTTTATTTTCTAGCAGTGGAATAATGAGCAGTCAAGTCAATTAATATTTATTGAGAACTTACTAAGTTCAAAGCACAAGAGTGGTTTTGTAGTAAGGGTATGGTCTGCAGTCACTTTCACTGTGTTTTTTATATTGACTTTTGATAAGATTGATGCAATTGCTCAAAGAATGATATAGATGGGGGAAGGAGAGTAATTGTGGAAAATACCTTTTAACTATCTAGTAAGAGTCACACAAAGTGAAAGTGAAAGTCACTCAGTCGTGTCTGACTCAGTTTTTTCGACTTGTTTTTGTTTTGTCCTTTCAAACCCTAAATACTTCAGAAGGTATCTTTTAAGAAAAGAGAGTTTTCTTGTTTTTCAACAAGGCTATGATTTTTCCAGAGTTTTCTTGTTTTTCGACAAGGCTATGGTTTTTCCAGTAGTCATGTATGGATGTGAGAGTTGGACTATAAAGAAAGCTGAGTGCCAAAGAATTGATGCTTTTGAACTGTGGTGTTGGAGAAGACTCTTGAGAGTCCCTTGGTCTGTAAGGAGATCCAACCAGTCAGTCCTAAAGGAAATCAGTCCTGGGTGTTCATTGGAAGGACTGATGTTGAAGCTGAAACTCCAATACTTTGGCCACCTGATGTGAAGAGCTGACTCATTTGAAAAGACCGTGATGCTGGGAAAGATTGAAGGCAGGAGGAGAAGGGGACGACAGAGGATGAGATGGTTGGATGGCATCACTGACTCAATGAATATGAGTTTGAGCAAGCTCTGGGAGTTGGTGATGGCCAGGGAAGCCTGGCGTGCTGCAGTCCATGGGGTTGTAAAGAGTCAGACACAACTGAGTGACTGAACTGAACTAACCATAATTATTTTTTGCCCTAAATGACCATAGCCATATGCATAACTTACAGGTATGTACATGTGTTTGTAAAGTATTCAATGATGAGAATGCCCCAGTTGTAGCTATTAAAATATTAACTGAAAGGGGAGAAGGATGAGTTGGGAATTTGGGATTAACAGATACACACTACTATATATTAAATGAATAACAAAGAGCTACTGTATAGCATGGGCTTCCCTGGTGGGTCAGATGGTAAAGAATCTGCCTGCAAGGCAGGAGACACAGGTTTGATTCCTGGGCCAGGAAGATCCTGTGGAGACAGGAGTGGCAACCCACTCCAGCATTCTTGCCTAGAGAATTCTATGGACAGAGGAGGCTGGTGGGCTACAATCCGTGGATCACAAAGGTCAGACATGATTAAGCAACCATGTCACACACACACACTGTATAGCATAGGGAACTATATTCAATTTCTTGTAATAACTTATAATGGAAAATAATCTGGAAAAGGATATATATATATGTATATATATACATATATATACAATTGAATCATCATGCTGTACACTTGAAACAATGTATATCAGCTATACTTAATTAAAAAAACAAAAAATTAAAAATATTAACTGAAATAATTCTCTACCATAAATTAAGTAGATTAATAAACTTTGTGTTAAAACTTTAACTTTGTAACTGCCTCTAGTTAAAGACTTTCACTAGATGTGTATATATTTTTTATTTAAAAAGAGAATTATTTTTTAAGTATCCACCTGAGAAATTGGGTATATAAATGTTTGATTTGTAAATACTTCTAGGTAGTTGTAATCATAGAAATACCCATATCAGAGAAATAATATATGACACACAATTTTAATGTATGTCATTGTCTTGGGGAAAATTGTATGGAAGATATCTCAATGTTAAAAGTACCAAGCATTGCGCTGAACTGGGAACCAGCAGATTTTCCTTTTATTTCCTGTTACTGACTATTGGTGTGAACTTGGGTCAGTTACCTAACTCCGTGGACTTCAGTTCCACTTCAGCTCTTTACAAATAAGGAGCTTGTCCATGTGACCTTAGGGGTCCTAGCTCCAAACTTCTGTAACTTACTTGGAGCTGAAGAATCTGTGACATTCCCATTGTATTTATACAGATAATTGCTTTAATTAGAGAGGATTTTCTTAGGACAAACTTATACTTCGACACAAAGACACCTTTCAAAAATCTGGCCCTGTTCTAAGCTCCACTGATTACTTGGAATTTTGTGTCATGAATACACAATAGCAGGATTCAGAGGTGTTCAGGACACTGGGTCTGGACCCCAGGTCCTGCTCCAGCACCCACCTGCTGAGTGAGCTCTGCCAAGTCTTGGCTTCTTCATCCATAAAATGGCAATAATAACAACCATAGAGTTATGAGAATTAGATTAGAAGAGTTTAAATAAAATAATGCAAAATAGCATTTCTGGGCACAGTGTAGACACTCTGAAAACAATCAGTTGAAGCTAAATTAGTTCAGAAAAATGTAAGGTGTTTAATTTTCTTTTAAAAAAAGCCAGCACTTTTGTAATTAGAGCCAGTGTCTGCACTGGATAAATTCAAGGGTTTAAATGTTGAGATGTGTTGTCTGCTTTGCTGTTCATGATGGGAGATAACCAGACTGGCTGCCCATGCCCAACTTCTTAATTCCCTTAGTGGATTCCAAATGGCATCGTGACGACTGTCATAATTCTGAAAAGGGATTCTGTAGATAGTTCCTGGTCTTTCCTCTACAGTGCTGTTTAGTCTTTGCATGATCTAAGCTCATGGGAGATGAAAAGTACCTCCATCCAAAATGGCCTGGGGATCCCTGCAGTTAGCCTCAGCTGTTCCCTGAGGTTTTGCTTGACATTCAGAGAAACCATGCCCTGAACACTCCATGAAATCAGAAAATAAAACATACCACCTGTGTTGGAAACACCACAGTTTTCCAACGAAGTGCCTTATGTATAATATACTTCTAACTGGAAGACCATGGAGTGATCATTAAGAACATCATTCCATATAGAATGGATAAACAATATTCTGTGCTATACAGAATGTATAGTGGATGGAACTATATCCAATATTCTGTGATAAACTGTAATGGAAAAGAATATAAAAAAAAGAAGTTGCCTCAGTCGTGTCCGACTCTTTGTGACCCCACGGACTCCTGGTGTAGCCCACGAGGCTCCTCTGTCCATGGGATTTTCCAAGCAAGAAGACTGGAGTGGGTTGCCATGCCCTCCTCCAGAGTATCTTCCGAACCCAGGGATCAAACCCACGTCTCTTATGTCTCCTGCATTGGCAGGCGGGTTCTTTACCACTAGCAACACCTGGGATATCTATACATCTACATGTAGATATATATAAAACTGATCTATTTTGCTGCACAGCTGAAATGAACACAAAATTGTAAATCAACTCTATTTCAATTAAAAAATATTGTCACTTTCTCTATTCTAATACAGGTATTAAGTTTGAGACAAAGGTGAATTTATTTCACAGAAGTGTACTGATGTTGCTTTGTTAGTTGTGACAAATGTGCGATGGTGATGGAAGATTTTAATGATGAGGAGAGCTGGGTGAGAGATTTATGGAAAGTTTCTGTACCATGTAAATCTAAAAATACTCCACATGAAAAGTTTATTTAAAACAATAAGAAGGATGCAAAGCAGTGTGTGTAGTTAAAAACTCATCTGTGAATTTATTTGGTTTTTCTGAATTAAATTGATAATTTATCCATGGCAAAACCCACATCAAAAGTCTGATTTTTGCAGTTGGCATTCTCAGAGTACATGAGTTGATATAGAAGAAATTAAAAAACCGAAACTATTTCTTCCTCGTTGGGTTACCTGATACAGTATTATGATACAACCACTATTTCTGAGCCATCCTTCACAGTAATGAATGAATAAGAAAGGGTTGAGAAATAACATATGAGGCATAGGTATTGCATTGTGTTGTAATTAATCACCTGGATTCTCCCCAAGGACCTGAGTTCATTCTTTTAAAATAATCTAGTTTGTGTATTAGTGTAGTATCACTGCTTCAGGGTGTGTAATCTACCAGGGAGAGGAGAACAGAAATTGTGACTGTAAACCAACGAGCCAAATATAGTACTATTGAGAGCCATTCTGCACCCTAATGTTTGCATGACGATGTCCAACTCTGTGTTTCAAAGGAATGGATTAATTTTTGAAATCATTTTCTTTTCTTTCTTTCTTTCTTTTTCTTTTGGGTCATGAGGTTTGTGGGATCTTAGTTTCCTGACCTGGGATTGAACCCAGGCCCACAGCAGTGAAAGCTTCAAGTCCTAACCACTCGTACCAGGGAGTTCCTGAAATATTTTCTTACAGACTTTTGGAGTAACATTTAACATCCCTAAAGTGGGGGTGTTGTTCAATCACTAAGTCATGCCTGACTCTTTGTGACCCCATGGACTGCAGCACGCCAGGCTCTCCTGTCCTTCACTCTCTCCTGGAGTTTGCTCAGATTCATGTCCATTGAGTTGGTGATACTAAGTGGGGGGTGGGAGAGTGCTATATCTACTCAGAACATTTCATGAGTCTTGAAAGGCCCAGAAAGGGGTAAGTCCTGGGCATGGTGGGACTTCTTTGGGCCTCTGTTTTGTCACCTACAAATAGGGAAGGTCTGATAGACCATCTGAACTTCAAAGAGCTGTTTTCTTCAAACACAGAGAAAAACAACTGAAGTAAGAAATCCAGAAGTGAATGTAATTTGAAGCTGAAGGAACTTCCTATTTAGTGTCAGAACTGAGAACCTGGGGTTTCCTGGAGAGTGGGCCAGCCACCTGCTCCTTGTAATTGTCCCCACTTGCTTTTCTCAATTCTGTTCCAAAGAATTTTGGCCTCAGTTTCCTCAACCATAAATTGGGGAAAAAAACACCTGCTTCACAGAACAAGATAATGGGTATGAAATATGTGTTGTATGATTAACAGTGCAAATGGAATGCATTATCTTTATTAACAAATAACATCATTTTTGATGAGGCAGACTGGCCAGCACCATGCTATGTGGAAATTACGAGGCCATTAGAAAGAGACCTGGGTTAGAATCCCAGCTCTGGCTCTTCCTGGTGGCTTTGGATGGCTGCTTCACTTCTCTGAGCTTCAATTTCTTTCCAGGGTTGTGATGAGAAATAAATAAGTTGATATAGAATGTTTCCATCATTGCAGAAAGCTCTTGGACCATGCTGATGAGTGTATTCAGTACCTGACATGATGCCTGGCATATAATAATCACTCGATAAATTTTTCTGTCCCCTCTCCTCCATCTTTCTGCTGTCAGCTGATACATTATTTGACCAGGTCTAACCTCACGTTTCTTTAGGGAGTTATGTTCTTAGCTTCCCATTTGCAAAAAACCTCCTGTCCTCTCCATTCTAAAACCAAAGCAACTTTACTAATAAAAACAGTATGGTAAGGTTTGTTGAGTCACCTTGTTTTTTTGGTAAAGACAACCATGTACTATATAGTTAAGACAATTACACAGTCAGCTATTAGGTTGATTATTCAATAATTAGGGTTCATTATGAGGACAGATTTCTATTATCTTGATTCAAGCAGGGACAACTGAGTGTTGAGAAATAGTATCTTAGAAATATTGGAAACCTGTGATGCTCTTTCTAGGATAGGTTCAATCATGATCTTACAGGAAATTTTCTGGGACTACTTTACTTAAGAGAATTTACATAGCTTTAAAATATAACCTAGATGACTGGATTCCCTGTACTTCTAGTCAATGTTGTGAGACATCCCAGAAGGTATAATGGTGTAGGAAATGGCAACCCACTCCTGTATTCTTGCCTGGAAAATCCCATCGGCAGAGGAGCCTGGTGGACTATAGTCCATAGGGTCAAAAAGAGTTGGACACTACTGAGTGACTGAGCAGAAAGCATGAGGTTAGGTTTTAAAATGTTTGGTTGAAAAGCTATTCATATTTTGAAGAAGTCTCCATAAGCCATCCTAACTCTAAGATTCTAAAAATCAGACCCATTTTTATTATTTTTTTCCTTAGCAATATGCCATTTTCAGAACTGTGAGTGGCTAGAATTCAGAACTTCTGGCAGTCCCCAAAAGGAAGCACCCAGGGAAATCACAAAGATGTATCTGCTGGTGGAGTGACAGCTTTTACGTGTGATCTCCAGAATAGTACAACTCAGCCTTTTTTGATGCGTAAGCACACTGTTGTCAGGACTTTGCAGTGGAGTGGAGCTGATGTAATGAGACGTAAATGCTTTCTCGTGCCTTGTGCACTGAGCAGGAGGAATGAAGACCAGCCCTGATCATTATGATTATGTTGTCGGATCATAAGTGGTACCAGACAGCACCTGCTTTCCTTCCATTTTTTCTACATAATTCATGTACAGAAGATTAAATACACAAAACAGACTTTCCTGACTCCATATTTAAGGTATGATAAGAAAATGTCCTTGGGTTTCCCAGGTGGCACTGGTGCTAAAGAACCCACCTGCCCATGCAAGAGACATAAGAGATGAGGGTTTGATCCCTGGTTGGGAAGATGCCCTGGAGAAGGAAATGGCAAACCATTCCAGCACTTTTGCCTAGAGAATCTCATGGACAGAAGAATCCAGTGGGCTATAGTCCACAGGGTTGCAAAGAGTTGGACATGACTGAAGAGACTTAACATGCACAAGAAAATATCCTTGGGTTTCCCTGGTGGCTTAGTGGTAAAGAATCTGCCTGCTGATGCAGGAGACATGGGTTCGACCCCTGTTCCAGGAAGATTAAACATGCTATCTAAGCCTGTCACAACTGTTGAGCCTGTGTTCTGGAGCCTGGGAGCTGCAGCTACTGAAGCCTGCATGCCCTAGAGCTCATGCTCCCCAACAAGAGAAGCCCACGTACCGCAACTAGAGAGAAGCCCCCGCTCTCCACAACTAGAGAAAAGCTCAGAACTTCAGCAACAAAGGCCAAGGCCAGCAATAAATAAATAAATGAAAAAACTCTTTACCATCTGAGCCACTGGGGAAAAGAAAGAAAATATCCTTGAATACTTTTTTCATGATTATTTGAAGCTCCTTTTGTCATTTTCCTGCAAATTATCTTTTCTACTGATTTCTCCTCTCATGGGTCTCCTGGAAATGCAGTCCCCTCTCAAGTTCCAGGGTTACCCAGGATCTTACCTGCTCCTGCAGGCGGCTGATGCTTTCCTCATATTGGGAGTAGTCTTGCTTATTGCCTGAATCTCTTTGCTGATGCCACTTCAGGATGCAGCTTTCTAGTTTCACGTTGGCCTCCTCCAGGGCATGCACCTTTTCCAGGTAGGTGGCCAGGCGGTCATTGAGGTTCTGCATCATCTCCTTCCCATTTCCGCCTAGGAGGGAACTGCCTCTTCCAGACCTCCAAGACCCTTCAGGGAGTGGACAGCTCGGTGAGGAGAAGGAAAGCGAGATGCGGACACCCCCGGCACCACCATGGACACTGGGAGCCCGGGGGAAGCTCCCTGGCTGGCCCCAGCCGCCTCCTGTGGCATAGAGGGAAACTGAGGGGTTCTTGCTGAAGCTCTGGTTGGAATTCATGGTCCCATCTGTGTCTGGGGCAGGACTGGGCTCTGGTCCACTCCCTGGCACCACAAAACTGAGCCGCCCCAGACTGCCCCAGATGGCTTTATGCCCTTTGCTGTGGGAGTTCCCTCTTCTGACAGCTGTACCGACAAGATCCTATCATTGTGCAACACGTGTTTCCTCTTGGTCAATCCCAAAGCGCCCCCGGGCCTTCACACATGGAGCTGTTGTTTAGAGTCACATCGATATACCAGGTTGTTTCTCCATCCCAGTGGTAACCTGGAGGTGTGGCCCACGACCTTAGGTGGGTATTAGTCTCAGGTGTCTTTCTAGTCTGTCTGTGGGTTTTTCCCATTGTCCATTTATCTGGAAAAGGTCTGATTGAAGTTCACAGAAAGGTGATTTGGGGTGGCATAGATTTCCTTTGAAAAAGTAGACATTAAACACACAGACACACACCTCCCCCTACCCAATCCCCAAATAAACACACCCCAGCTCTAAAGCAAGGATGGGAGGGACTCACAATGCAAGAGCCAGATCAGGACAGAATCTCAGGTCCTGGAATGAAAATACTTGTGCAGAGGAAATGGAGACAGTTCTGAATATCTGATCCTCTGTCGCAGCCGCTGTTGGATGGAAAGTAATTTCAAAGGAATCATTCTTAAGAACAAACCCACAATTATAATTAATTAATGAATGACCGAATCTTCCACTTCCAGGCTGCCTTTCATCCCAGCACACCTCAAAACCAAACAACCCCAGCCTGTGCTCAGGACTTTCCTCAGCCCCTGGGAGGCAGGGAGCCTTTGTTAAGTGGCCAGCAGCCCTGATCTCGCTGAGCCCTGGAAAGGCTCAGTGCTGTGTGTCTATGACCTGCGGAGCGAATAGAGGGAAACAGGAAATGTGCCATGGGTTGTCGAACACGCTTGATGAATCTTATGCTTTGCCTGCCAAGGTAAATGTTAGGAATAATAAAGAAATAGTCTGGGGGTGGAGAGCCACGTGCTGCTTACTGGCAACTAGATTTAAAGGAGAATTAAGAATAAAATGGCAGCATCTTGAAGGGACAGAAGTGTTCCTTAGTCCAAGCCACTGATTTTACAGATGAGGAAAACTGAGGCCCGTGGGGTGGGGTGGGCAGGATGGCAGATTGTGGGTTAGTGGCAAAGCCAGGGTGCGGCTCCTTCTGCCACATAGCGTGGTTATCATTGAGTTGAATCTTGACGGAGCCCTGGATCACACTTCTCTTTCATAATGGTGATAATGGGACTTCCAAGTTTACATAGCCCTTTGATATTCTGTATTTAATCCACATAGCAACTCTTGATGTAGCCAGGCAGGAGTTATTGTTCCCGTTTTCCTCCTAGAGGTGAAAGACGGGGAGCTGATTTGCATGTAATGTAAATCAACACAGGAATTTGCAGTTGTTTTGGCCTTGGTCTGTGCTGTTTCCTCTGCTTGGAAAACCACTGCTTGTGCTGCCTAGGCCTGCTCTCCTGCCTTCCAGATGTAGTTCGAGGGTTAACTGCTTTCATCGCAATCGTTATCTGAATCTTCTTGCATGAGTTGGGTGCTCCTTCTTTGAGGAAAATGCCTTTTCTAGATCCCAAGATCTTCCAGAGGAGCAGACAGCTTGGTATTCCTACCCCAGAGCAGAAGGGTGGGAACTGGGAACCGCCTGCCCTGAGCTGGGTCCAGCCACCACCCGGGCCTAAGTTCACCCCTATTCCTTCACTCACCACATTGCATTGCATTTGTTACACTCCTTGGGGACTACAGGCTTCTTGAAAATAAGGATTATGTCTTTCATCTTTAAAGCATCAAAGTCTGGCTTCTTATAGGCATTTCATAAACAGTGCATGTTAATAGTGAAACTTTAAGAGCCAGGATTTTAACTCAGGTCCTCTGACGCTGTCACCTCCTGCCTCTTTTAGGAGTGTGAGTTGTAAAATCAGAGAGTAAGAAAAAGCCTCTGCCAGCGGTCAACCAGCTAGCTACAAAAGCAAAATCATTCCTAATTAAAATAAAATCAACTAAAGCACACAGCTCAGCTTGTCTGCCCTGGCAACAAGACCTTGGAAAAAGTCCTCTGGACTTTCCCCATCTCACTGTGTGCAGGATGGAAAAACTTTGTTAAGACTTACAGGGAGTGCCCTTCGCAAGTGTTCTATAGTCACTTACATCTCTAAACATGAGAGAAAGACGAAGGGAGAGATGATGAACATAGAGCGAATAAGGGAAATATAGAGACTTGTTCAGACATGTGGTGGCAAGCTGTGTTCTGATGGATGTGAATGGTTCTGGATAATTTGTTCGGCTCAGGTTTGTGTTCTCATGGACCGAGCTTCACATCCAGGTGTAGGATGCGCTAGGGCCAGGCTGCACTCCGTTTCCCTAAAGTCTGTCACAATCACCTACAATGGAATTGACTGTTACCTGCTCATTTCAGGTGTGCATAACTGGCAATGACTTCTTAGCCCCATGAATCTGGCACATTTTACATTAGTATGTGGGGTTTGGATTTATAAGAGTTAACCTCGAGCAAAGTATTTCTGGCATTGGAGCAGGACCCAGAGGAGGGAAATTTGATGGTGAGATTTGAGAGGACTTGGTAGAAGTCACTTCTTCTAGGAGCATCATATGATGACTTTCCTTGTAACCCCCGATGTGTGGAGTTCCACTGGATTTTAGAAACATTTCAGATCCTCTCCATCTGTGTACATTGCTAGACCTATGGATGGCTAGAATAATTTTAGAGAAATGACTTCATATGGTTTATTTTAATTTAGAAGAATTAGGTTAATTAAAAAATTAACTGACAAGAAACTAAAGTGAATTCACTTCAGTTACAAATTTTCTATAGGGTTTTAAAACTGTCATACTATTCTTTTAATTGACAACTTTTAAGGAGAGTGAAATGGCCTGTAAGTGCCAATATATGAGAGTCACAGAGCTAAAAAACGGCCAGCAAGTAGTCATTTGGTGCAGATCTTTGCTTTTAGTAGGTCGACCTCAAATTTCTGAGCTTATTTTTAAACTATTTTTTAAAGAACTCAAGGGATAAAAGGCTCAGTTGCGCTCTCAATACATGTCCTGCATTTATTCATCCTTTTGGTCACTAAGGACTTCCCTTGTGGCTCAGACGGTAAAGCATCTGAGCGGGAGACCCAGGTTCCATCCCTAGGGATCCTCTGGAGAAGGAAATGGCAACTCACTCCAGTACTCTTGCCTGGAAAATCCCATGGATGGAGGAACGTGGTAGGCTATACAGTCCATGGGGTCTCAAAGAGTCGGACATGACTCAGTGACTTCACTTGGTCACTAAGCCTTTCACCTGTAAAAGGGTTTCATGAATTTTTGGGGGGAGAGGTATTTTTATTGAGTTCAAATTGTTTAACATCTTAATTATTCTTCTTTGTATGACTTCCCAGGTAAAAGACTTGTAATTTTCACATTAAGTTCATCTTTCTGATAACCTGAAAAGTTGTCTTAAAAGGGAATGGATATTTTACAGGAGAGGCTGGTGGTGAGTGGATGAATGGGATTGCCCGTGGGTGTATCAGGGATCAGAAGAGAGCCCTGTCAACAGTTAGCTGTCATTAACTGGGAGCAGTGTGTTCGTGCCTTTCAAAGATAGCCATTCATCACTGAAGCATTCCCTGGGCACCATCTTCTTTATAGCGAGAGAAGAATGGTCAAAAGAATCCCCAAACAGATCTTTACTATGCATCACATTTCAGAACAGATGAGTAGTAGATCTTCAGGCAAAATTGCTATGTCATTATCCTATGATTTAGAGGGTTACATAAAAAAGATAAACATTTATAGAAATAAAACATAGCTTCTACAGTGATGCCAGAGCAGGGATTTTGTAAGTGCCTAAATTTATCAAACTGTGGCCAAAAAATAAACTTTTCTTGTATTTTGATTTTTCCTGGAAGAGGGGTTGACAGCTAGAAGGTTTAATTAAGAAGTATTCAATGTTGTATTTCAGGCTAGGAGAGGAAAGCAAACTAACTTAAAGTTGCTTCCAAATATACCTGTCTAGATTGACTGACAAAACAGGAAAAATAATAAACACACACATAGGTAAAAAGAGTTTTAAGATCATAGAAGGAAAGTTTCTCAAATGGAAGATAATGAGACAACTGTGTTGGAAACCTTTCTTTCTAAAATTTTTATTTTCTATTTTGAGTAGAGTTGATTAACAGTGTTGTGTTACTTTCAGGTGTATCTCTAAGTGATTCAGTTGTACATATGTTTAATACATATACCTATTCCTTTTCATTCTTGTCCCATTTAGGTCATTACAGAGTATTGAATGGAGTTTCCTAGACTCTACAATAGGTTCTTGTTGTTTATCTATTTTAAATATGCCCTTCTTAATTTGATTTTTCAAAGCAGGAGAGAATTAGGTAGCGATGCAGAGGTGGATAGAGCCTTGTAAGTGACTACAAATGAATAGTATCAGGGACTTTAAGAGAAGAGTTAGGGGGACTTCCCTGGTGCTCCAGTGGTTAAGAATCCACCTTCTAATGCAGGGGTTGTGGGTTCAATTCCTGGTTGGGGAACTAAGATCCCGCATGCCTTGGGGCAATGAAGCCTGAGTGCCCCAACTAAGTCTCGACATAGACAAAAATAAACAAGCAAATATTAGAAAAAAGAGAGGAGTTAAAAAAAAGGGAAGAGTTAGGAGCTTTGAAGTAGATAAGATATTAGACTACAGAAATAGGAAGGAGATTTTAATTCAATAAGATCTGTATTGATAGAAATCTAAGTAATTATTTATTTAAGTCCTAATCTTATTAGCATATTTCTGAGCAATTGCAAACACATAAAAAGGTGAAAGGCATGTTTGCTGCATATACTCTATGGTAAAGAATCTGCCTTCAGTGCAGGAGACGTGGGTTCGATTCCTGGGTTGGGAAGATCCCCTGGAGAAGGGAATGACTCCCCACTCCAGTGTTCTTGCCTGGAGAATTCCATGGACAGAGGAGCCTGGTGGGTTACAGTTC